TTATAAATTTTATAAAGTAAAGTTACTTCCCTACTTTATAAATCACCATTACTGTGGAACCGGTGGGCAGTTAGAAAATTTACTTCATACGGAGTTGGTGTGGCGTGCATAGCCATTCTGATTCTATCTGGTTGTTCCGCGATGGCTTGCTCGATGCCGCACAGGATGCTCCAGGCTGGATGTACTTGCAGGGCTTCGTTTGCTCTTTTTGTTAGCTTAGTTGGCTTCCAATCCCATCCTCGTCGCCAGTGTTAGATCGGGTAAAGGAGGCATACAAAGGCTTCAGTAACAACAGCTCTTTATTGCAAGTCAAGTAAACATCTGGCTGAGGAATGGTAGGGCAGCATCCCCTTTTAAAGGGATCTATCAGACCTCTTAACCAATGGGCTTCAACCTCTGTTCCCGCTGGAACAGAGGACCTTGGTGGAAACCTTTGTCAGTCTGTCAGCAGGGGGGAATATCTAACAGAATGCCAGTCCTTCTTTGCTCCAAGGTACTAGGAGAGGGAGGGGGGCTTCTAGAGCAGCAGTCACCAACTGGTGGTCCATGAGAAAATTTTGGTGGTCCAAAGAAAAATCTTTGTATTTTTGCATTTTTTTATATTGCACTAAATCAGGGATCCTCAAACTATGGCCCCTGGGCCGGATATGGTCTGCTGAAGCAATTATTCCTGCTCACTGACGGGATGGGGTCCTTTAGGCACTTAGCTTGGCTGCCTGTTTAGTGGCTCCAGCCCTTCCCTCCCTTCCTAGGAGTCCAGGCACATCAACGAGTGGTGCTCAAAACTGCAGCCAGGCTCCTCTAAAGACAGAGTTTGCAGGGGGCTGATCTAGCGCCCAAGCTGGCTACAAGACAAACATTCATTCTTGGCCGTATTTGACATTCCTAGCTGCAATGGACAGAAAAGCTAGGTTGACCCCAGGCCCCTCTCTCCACTAACAGGCGGCCAAGCTAAGTGCCTGAAGGACCCCATCCCATCACTAAATCATATTAGTGATCCATGGGGTTTAAAGTTATGAATTTAGTGGTCCCTGCAGTCCAAAAGGTTGGTGAGCCCTATTCTAGAGGCTTCCTATTGCAGCTCAGTGCCAGCCCAGCCTGCATCCTGGTCCATTGATATGGAGGTAGAGAGTTATGGGAGGAAGACAGGATGGAAGGAGAAGAAGAGGGCCAAGCTTTGGGGAAGAGAGGGTTGGCTGGCTGACTCCTTCCTGAACTTTGCTCCTTTGTTCTGGAGCCTCCTGAGGGCAAGGGAGGGGGCTGTGCAGGCTCTGCAAAGGAAAGGAGTCTGCCTCTGCTCTGAACGGGAGGGAGGAGGGGAGCAGCGAGGCTCGGCTTGAAGCAACCATCTCTCGGCCCCAGTCCTGCCTTCTCGGATGAGTCATTTCTCTGCCGATGCCAAACCACGTCTTTTGGGGAGACGAGCTGCTCTGGGGTTTGGCTTGCCGCCTGTGTGATCCCGCACAAGTCTCTGTACAAGGCTTGCCTATTAAAAGGTTTTACAGTGGTGGCAAGCCCTCCCATATCTCTCCCCATTTAATTTTGCACACCGGGAAATTACAGCTTTGCACTCCGTGGCAGCATTTCCACGCTGCAGGTGGCGGGGGATGGCGCTGCCTGCCGACGAGGGAGGCATTAGGCAGGGCCTGGAGACTGTCCTGGCTTCAGCGGGGAGGGGTCTCAAGAGACGTGCAAGCTGGGGGGTGGGGGAGATGAGCAGCACGGAGGAGGGGGAAGCAGCAGAGGAGGGTTTGGTTACTGGTGTCTGATCTCCAGGGATGGCTTTTCATTTTCGAAGTCGAGTCAATTTAAATTTTCCTGTTTTACACTCCAGAGATTGTTTTCTGGTGCATCCAGCTTGCCGTGGTACAGCATGCTGTGTGAGCCTCATCTGCCAGTTTATTTTTCAGAATTTGCTAGGTCACAATTGAATAAGGATTTACATTATTTGCCTCATTTCCAATTGACTACGCATCATTGATATATGAAACTGTTTTTCTTTGGTTTGTTATCTTGATGTAGGAGTGGATATTTTTAAAGAGCATCCTTCAACTCTGGGGGAGAATAGGATGATAGGAGATTGGGTGTCACAGCTAATGCTCTCGCAGACAGAAATAACAGCTTGAAGCAATCTTGAGCTATACAGAAAAGAATGAAATTTAACAGGAGACAAATGGGAAGTTCTTCACTCAGGAAACAAAAGGTAAAGGCACAGGTGTAGAATGCTGGATTCCTCACTTAGTCAGAGTAGTTGATTGTGTTCAGGGCTGCTACAATTAACATTCATAAAGCTCCAATAATTCTCTTATTTGCAAGCCAAGCTCTGTTTAAACCAGAATCCAAGGGAGCTGTAGTCATGTACCATAACTGGGGGCCGCCCTTCCCAACTCAGCCAATGGAAGAACAGACAGCCCTAGAGAAGCTTGTTCTGGTCCCAATAAAGCCGGCCCCATAGACTGGCTCCCCCCTCTGGCATCCGAGCGCCACAATGGACACATCAGAGTTCTCTGCAGGAATACAGTTGTGCATTCCTTTGCCCAAGAGGGGAATGCAATGAAGGGGTTCAGGCATGTTGCTTTTCATTGCAACTTAAGTGCTTAAGTAGCTATTAAAGGATGAAGCTCAGCCATTGCTAGATTCTAAGAATATGTGGCCACTCTTGGCAATTGAACTTCTGCTGCTAAGTGAGGCAGTTGTTAAGTGAGTCACACTTGCATTTTTGACCTTTTTTGCTGTGGTTGTTAAGTGAATTATTCAGTCATTAAGCAAAGCAATCTGGACTTCTCTATTGATTTTGGAAGGGGATAGGTCACAAATGGTGATCATAAGACTATGGGAAGTGCAACTGTCATAAATAGCATTAGCAGTAAGATTTATATACCGCTTCACAGAGCTTTTACAGCCCTCTCTAAGTGGTTTGCAGAGTCAGCCTCTTGCCCCCAACAATCTGGGTCCTTGTTTTACTCACCTTGGAAGGACAGAAGACTGAGTCAACCTTGAGCCTGATGAGATTCAAACTGCCAAATTGCAGGCAGCTGGCAGTCAGCAGAAGTAGCCTGCAGTACTGCACTCTAACCACTGCACCACCACAGCTCTGCCT